AAGATGCTGTGGTCCCTGGTATGGTAGCAGTCTCTTTCGATTTAAAGAAGTGGGTTGACCTCGTTGTCCCAACTTGGTCTTGTTGTCAGGGAGACTATGTAGAAGTCGTCTGGCATAGTAGTTGTCATGATTCCCAGCATCTGACAGTGGACTTGGTACATTCTAAAACGTTTTTAAGTTGGGGGCTTTTAAGTTGAACTGAATTGGTTTGTTTGGTACGCTTTTATGCAAACCAACAAAATTACACGTAAGGTAGTAAGTAGTATGACACACCAATTTACGTGTATCCAATTATGCGGTTGTTTACTTACAAATTATATTTCTAGTAAATAATATATCGGAAATCTTATCGAAATCTGGATTCCCTTGATGACTAATAGTGATATCTAGCCTAATTGCCGGCATATTGGCGCATCTTCGATAGGCCGAGATTAGGGGGCTTCTTTTGTTGTACAAGTCGAGATAAACTTGACATTTTCTGGCACCAGAGCGAAGTATCTAATAAGGAATCAAATATAGGTTGTAGCCGCAACCTAACCTGGATGAGGACCCACCTTTGCAAGTGAACTCAAACAAAAAATTCTGACGGTTCCATTTTCGGAGCAGGAGAAGTTAATCGAGTAAGGGGGGACAGATAATCGTCCGATGCGTGCTAATAGTGATTGAAAAAAAAAAGATTTTGTGCAAAGATTGCTTGCGGTTACTGGTAGATTTCCGCAGTAGAGTTCATTCACGTTGTCGCAAAGGCATTGATACGTCGAGTGAATGCAAGCGGCCACACATTCTCTGAGAACTTGGCATGTCCTCGGAGGCGAACTGAGCTCGAGCACCTGAGTTTGGATGCAAATAGCACAAAAAGATAAGATAATATTCAATTTATATCCGAACTATACTACAATAAAGCATAACAAGCAGACCAGGCAGTCAGACTCATTGTGAATTCGCAAATCAATCTTTTCGAGACTAAATCTATGCGAATTTTCGGCTGTGTCCACAATTCATCTGCTCTGTCGTCATGAGCAACGACATTCGCTTCGCCCAGTTCATGCCCGTTTTTGTAAAAGCCATTTTGAGAGAAGATAAATGCGAGGTCTCAGAGAAAGGGGGCGATGACAAGAGGCGGAGAAAAGCGGAGTTGAATGGAAAAGGAGGCGGCGAGAATTGATGCCGAGGGAGGAGGCAGCCAAGAGGAGAATGGTTGAGGGCGAGAGATGGAAATGGGTGTGCATGCCAGTAGTGGGTACGATGAAACCTCAATGCAGGCCATCTAACCAACCAAAAGTGTGGGAGTCAATGGGTCCATCTCTAGACTCGAACTTTGGAGGTTGGCGAATTCCGTTTGGGCTGGCAAGGATTGACATTAACTTCGTCTCGGCGTGCATGAGCGTCTACTTTTGGGCGGTTTGACACAATGCAAGTCTTGCTCCACAACGTGTGCTTTTGCAGCACATTGAGGGCAGAGCCTCAATATGCCGATTGCGCGCAATCACATTTGCGTACAGAATCAAAGTATGGCAGCACAAAGTAACTTCCGTCGCCAAAAGGCAGAACAAGATATTTAACAATAAGCCTACGAGAAATAGGCAAGCAGAAAGAATCTGCCTCGGCAAGTATCGCTTTATTCACTAAGCACACAAAGAGAAGAAAACATATGCAAAGAGGTAAAATACATACTGCTGAGGGATAAATACAGCTTGAAAGGCAAAGTGCTTGCTAAAGTCGAAGCAACAGAAAACACAATATATTATAAATTTAAAAATAATTATCTATAGCAAAGGGTTAGAGAAGAAAAAGGAGAGGCAGAAGGAGAAGGAGAAGAAGAAGAAATAGGAGAAGGTGGACAAGGAGGATGAGAAGAACAAGAATTAGATGGATAAGTCGAACGTGAAGGAAAAGGAGGAGAAGGAGAAGGAGAAGGAGAAGGAGAAGGAGAAGGAGAAGGAGAAGGAGAAGG